TCGATGGAGAAATGTGCCGAGTTTACCAGGCCCGCCCCAAACATCATCAGCAGCTGCAGCTGATGTGCTACCACATTTAATACCCGCCGTGTTCGCGTCCCTCCACGACATATCCGCAGAGCGCACTTTAACGCCAACAGTCTCGCGGAGGGACGCGGCTCAGCTGCTGGTGGCCGCTTCCGGACTGCAGAGTTGCAGATTTTCGCACGCAGTGTCGCCGTTGTACCAATCGAAACTCGTCTACTCCACGGCCAGGTGTGAGTTTGGACCAGCTGTCTGCGTCGGGCCGATGGCTTAGATAGACCTGGTCACCAGTCTCCTGGAAACTCCTCGGAGTTTCAAGCACGTGCTAGAAGTGACAGAGGACTTCAATCGATGGGTGGAGGCATATCCCTGCGCGACGAGCGGGCAAGTGCGGTGGCATCCGTGCTGGTCAATGAGTTTGTCGCTAGATTTGACGCTTAAAAACATCTTCATTCAGACGAAGGTGGACACTTTGTGGGTTTGGTTATAAAGATGAGGGTGAGCTCAGTCTTCTGGACGTGCATCTACCGATGCTGATGTTGGCTGATCGGAGTCAGGTTTACGAAACACAGGTTGCCCTCCGTTTGTCCTGATGCTTAGGTGCGAGACCTGCCTTCCCGCTGATGCTCCGCTGGGAGAGCGCCTGTCAGCGGACCGTGCACTGACATTTTCTGAGTATGCTGACCACCTGAAGGAGAAGACCCTGTGGCTGGCATTCCAGGACGGGTTGCATCACGGTTGCGCGTTGCATGATCCCAACAAAGAACTGTGTGAGCGACGTTTGAATGGGCTTTTGTATCGTGGTGATCGGGTGTTTTCGTATCGTAATGTGTTAAAGGGGGTGACAACTAGAATTGTCTGCTCCCGTAGCATCCACCAGTGATTGCTGTGAAGTGCAGTCCTTCGAACTATCGGGTCCGGAAGGAAGGGAAACGGCGGAGGATGATCGTGCACCACAACCGGTTGAAACCTTATAACTTTGGGGTGAACAAGCGGGTACTGATTCAATGGTGGTTCCCATTTCATTTAAGTCTAACCTCAACTTTTCAATTTCAGGTTCAAATTGCTGTAAACCTATTTTGATGCGATTTGTGCCTGAATTTGAACTTGAAGGGCAACCTTCAAAGGTAAGAGTTTCTTTACGGACGCCAGGTCATGCGCTGGTGAATGTTCTGCATTCTGATGCTTAAAAATCCGATATTGGCGGTATTTTGGGTGATTTGGAGTGCCCCATCATCAGAGCTGAAATTATACCTTGAACGGTAGCCTTGACGGACCAGACTTCTTAACGGACGCTAATTTATGGACCGTAGACAATTTTGAAGTTCAAGAATCTAAGTCGGCCGGTAATATCAGCGATTTGAAGTTCTCCACCATTTTTTTTTGCGGGGGACCTTGAAAGATCAGGACTTGCTGAAGACACTATTTCATGGCTTGATGTGAATTTGATGCTTGAAAATCCGAAACCGGTCGAGGACTTGTTGGTGATGTGGTGTTTCACCAAATGGTGATATGGTGATATGTTTTGGTCATTTGCCCTGTATTTGACCTTGAGATGTCATAATGGGATTGCTTCCTGTACCGCTTCGTTATCCGTCAAGCCTCCTACTACGTCACTTAGTCATACGCTCTGAGTGGTTCGACACCCAACATGTTTTTTGGTTAAAGCGTTGGTACACGACTAATCATGCATTTTCATCTGTCGAAGACTGCCAAAGCGAATGGTAGCGTGCCGTGCCGGCCAAGAAGAGCGAGACGTAGCACTCACAACACTCAGGGATATAAACAACACCTATGCAGTGGCACTGCACTAGAAAACTACAAGGACCCATTGTCCATCAACAGTCACATTTCATCCCGGGTAGTCCGGCATGAAAGGCATATCTCTTCACGTGCTTGGAGAGTGTGGTGGACAATACGGTCACAGCGGCGTAGGCAGCCCGGGCCCTCGCCAGTCCTGGGGACGGAGTGACTCGAATCCTATAACTAAGCCTTCTATGCCGCCGAGAAGTGGTCGGTAATGGTCGGGTAAGATCCGTCGGCCCGACGCTGACGGGTAATTGTTCGCCAGGCGTGAGTGACGCAGCTCCCATGCTAGGTTGTCGTTCCATGGCGAGGCCCCGCTTTTGCGCCCGCGGTCGCGTGGCTCGGACGCTGTTCCATCCGGTGCGGTGGAACGCCATCCGTACGCGTTGGCTGTGTCGAGCTGCAGGGGACGCTGTGACATCCGGCAGTGGCGACACGGTGGCCGTGTCGAGCTGCAGGTTGTGTGGGTTGCGCAGCATCGAACGCGATTCCATCCTCCCCCCTGGCGGGCTTCCCCCCCCCCCCCTCCCGGATGGGCAGTCGTTGGTCTTGAGCGTCGGCCCCGGGACGGGCCGGTCCGGCGGCACTCCGATGGCGGGCCGGGTGTAGACCTTGAGCGCCGGTTTTCGGGACGGGCCGGTCCGGCGACCTGACTGATGAGGTGTGCCGAGCGTGTGCCGGGCTTCTAATTTTCCACATTCGACTGCTTATTTTCCACATTCGCCTTTTTAGTTTCCACAGTAAGGTTATTTTCATGGACGCTAACTCATGCGCTGGTGAGCATTCTGATTCTGAAAAATCGGGAATCAGCCCCAACTTGTCGGTGACATAACCTTCCCCATCGTTCGATCTTTAATTTGACCTTTGAAGGTCACGTGGTATTAAAAGATTGACGTCAGATTTGGTGTTGTCATACCTAAATTGATCTTCAGACGCGTTTTCAGCGAAATCGGAGCTCACCAGCAATGGATTACTCAATGCATCGCTATCCTCAAGAACGTGGGCTGAGCGAGAAGCAATGGGTATACTCATTCACAAAACATGCGGTAGGCTATTAGTAATGGGTCCCAGGGCGACTTTCAGCCGGCCCAGTCAGCGGTTAAGCGGCGGCGCCCGCTGTGTTTATGGCCGCGTTCGGCCTGTCGTCCAGCACGATTGTCAGCATCAATCACGGCCCAATAATCGCATTAAGGTCGCGTCAAGTGACCTCGAAATCATGTGGCCCCGTGACGTCATGCACAGGCTGACGATGACGATGACGCACCCGCTGACGATTATTTTTTTGTCAGCTTTTTCAGCATGAAAAGATAGTGCTACCAGATTAAAAATCACTCTGACTGAAGCGGGAGTTTGATTTGGTAGTTCTTCCGTTGCCGGTACGTTGTGTGGGGTGAGGGCATTTGCGTCTAATTTTGGAGGGAAATGCGACGTGAGATAGATAAGGATAGAAATGAAATGTCAAGAGTTGCCCCGAAAAGATGAGTGACAGTGATTAATGTGGTGTGGGTCTGCGTTACCCCGTAAATTAAAAGCCTTATAAGCGAACCGTCAAAATGAGAGGGACGAAATTGAAATGAGTTGGAAATGGGAAGGAGGTCGGATGAAGAAGAGTGACATATGGATGGGATAGATGACGGTTTTTCAGGAGTGTCAATTTTTGTAAATTATGGGGGGGGGGCCGAATCGAAAGCGTCATATTCTAGCTCCCCATTTTTTTGCACCGGTTTAGCCCACTCTATTTTGATTAAACGTAATATATGTCCTTCATCTCTGTGTAATTTATAAAAGTATTTAATTTAAGCAGTATAGAAATCCTGCAGAATTGGATCCAGGGAGCAGGCACTGGACGCTCGCGTCTTTTTTTGATCGGTACGTGGCCCCCTTAATGTCTAGACGTTTGGAGGCCACCTTAGGGCGACGATAGCGACTTTCTACGGCGGGTCGTGGGAGGTGGCACGTATTGTGGCCGTGGGGTATGGGGACGAAGTTAACCATGGACTTAGGTCATCTCCATATTCCAGAGCTTTTCACTTTAACCTCACAAACCATGGCGTGTCTCATGGCACTAGGTATGTGAAGGCCATAACATCGTTTGTCCGCTAGCTGTTACGATTTGCATCTTGTGGTGAGCGCAACCATGGCTTTTTGTTATGAGAGTGGTACGAGGACGCCTCTAGGCAGAAAGGTTAAAGAAGATGGCCCTTGTGTTACGATCATCTTTTACCCACATTTTATTTAGCATTCCAGCCAAAACTACTTAGGGCGGCCAAGCCAACATTGGGGGCCCAACTCAGCACTGGAGGGGGGGGGGGGGGGCAGGGTCGTCACAAAAGAATACAAATCGACACTCGTGACGGTAATTCCGGGGCAGAGGCCACGCTTCCAAACACCTCTTCGTATGTGGTGTGTCATAGTCAGCGGTAAGCCAGAGTTGGTGTGCGGTCTGAAGTAAAAGGCAAGAGAAGAAAAAATAGAAATAAAAAAACTTCCTCGCCAGCCCACACAACGAGCGCTCTGTCAGCACGCATGACGTCATGCGTTCCAGAGGACAGTCGTGATGACGACAGATCGAATGGGGCCCATGCCTACGGGCATTGACCACGTGACCTGGCCGAGGTCGCTTGTGCGGGCTAGAATGGCTGCAGACTGGAGGAGGGGACGGCCGGGTGTGGCAGGGGGTTGAGTTCGTCCAGGAGAGCGACTATAATAAAAGGGACCAGATGAACCATGGTCTGTCTACAATGCATACAAAATCGGGTATCTCCAAAGATCTGGCCCCACTTTCTTTGCAAAGGTACGGGTCTCGGGCCCCTCCCCCTCCGCCCAGCTGGAAAGGAACTCACTGGCCGGAATAGATCACGCGAGAGCGGGATCAAGCAGAAAACCGGCACACCGGCCTGTGAATAATTTATGCCATTGCCGCGTCCGGTCTGTCGCCGGTACGTTTGTCTGCACCAATCGCGGCCCAGTGTTCACCCTATGTCACGTCACGTGACCACAAAGTCATTCGGGTCGAGACGTCACGCGACGGCTGTCGCTGCACAATAGATATAAATACAAAAAAAGAAACAGGTACCTTTTTTACCTATTGAGAAAATCTGGTAGCACGCATATGTTACGAAAAACAGCGTACCTGCGTCGGGATGCGCGTTTGGCATCGATGAATGCCGGGTAGAGTCGCGAACTGTGCGTTGGGTATTCGGCTTTGAAGGCAAATAATTCCGGGTGAGAGGGGGGTTATAGAACGGCCTGGAAGGTGTGCGAAGTAAAAGTTTTGTCTTGGGCATTCGATCGACGCTTTTGCGTTTGGTATTGCCGTGGCTATGGATTGTCGTTTGACATTATGTTGCCATATATCTTATAAGGATGGATGATGTTTTTAAGAGCACTTCCTTGGCACCACTTAGAATGGAATCATGCAACATCTATATACCGAGCAATAGGCCCAAGCTAATCAGACACCAATCTACAAGCCATGAATGGAGCCTGTGGGCAATGTAAATGAGGGTTGTGGAGCCTGATATGTGTGCATGGGTTGCCAATGCTGCTCTTTTAGTTCGGAGTTATATTGAACATAATTAATGTTCCGCTTCAACATACCATTTGGTGCTGGTTAACCAGCACCATTGTTTTGTTTCATCATTCATCAAAACTCCATGATTTATCTTCCATCAGTTATCATGGTTCGCAGCTCACACACTCCACAGATACCCTGTGACTGACATGTTGTGGGTCCCAGGAGCGGGGGGTTGCCGGGCGTGCACCTACCATACTAGGCAGGCTGCACTGGGTCACTTGCTGTGACTTTGTGTGAGGTACCTGGTACCAGGCCTGACTAGGGCAGCACCAAGGATGGCATGGCCTTGGGTGGTTTCAGGCAGTGGTTGTACCTCATTGTCAAGCTTCATAGCATTATTGCCTGCTAACTTTGTGATGGGAGGATACCCTAATGCCCAAATAGAATGCTCATATGAGCTCCCAGAGGTCACAAACCCCATTCACATGTGTTTTGGCCAAGAACTGTACCACATATACTGCATATGTATGTTGTTACCTTGCTTGTCCCATGCTGAAAAAGGCTGGTACTGACTGACTGGAATCACTATTGATAATGTGTTGCCTCAGTGTATGCCATGGCATTGACACATGTGTATTAGATAGATGCCTAGATGTGGTGTGCTTATTTTTGGTTCTGTTCTCAGATATTGATTGCAATGGGCATCAACAGCAAAAAAGTGTTACTTGCATTGGGTCTGGGTGCCTTCACAGGCATTGCTCTTTATTTGCTGTACAAAAAGGTGAGTTCATGCATCAATGTTAACACTCATTTGTACACTGATGGGGAAAATGAGCTCGCTTGACTGCTGGTGTCTTACAGGATAGATAGGATATTTGTGGAAGGATATTTGTGGTGTACAGTTTTTAAAAATGATTGGTATACTGTTTCTTGAATGTGATTTTGTGTATTGTTCTGATACCTTCCATTGCTGCGTTCTGTTTCTTGCTATGTTTGTTTTGTTGTGCTTTATACCACTCTCATGTGTGTTAGTAGTAACCAGGATAATTGACAGGCAATACTGTGTGTGTGTCATTGGGGCTTTATGATGCACACAGCTGCTGAAGCTATATGGCATTGCCTGCCTCTCACCCTTGCAGGAAGCATGGGCACCACAGGGAACCCAACCTGATATGCCAGTTTCCCAGATGTACAGTGGTTAACACTAGCACATTAACCACTACCACTGTGGCACCCCTTGACAGGCAAGACCAAGGGAAAATGGTAATGATGACCAGGTTAAATTGATATGTGAAAGGGAGTGAGGGAAAACTGTTTGAAGTAAATGTCTCCCTTATAGCCTCCTTCCTCACAGGATGCATGTATGCACAATACATAATTGACAAAAGTGAAAAATGGGAAAGGCTTTAACATGATTGTTGTATTTCGGTTGTTTGCAGAACGAAGACGACGACGACCTGGAGAACTTCAGTGAAACGTCCACCTCACGACATACGCTTATCGAAATGAAAAATACCCCGAAACGCAGTTGGCTTTTGTCATTGGCCGCGAAGGATCAAACATTAAGGACATACAAGAGATGACCAATACCAGAATTAACTTCAAAAATCCTGGTACGCAGTGACAGATTTGTATTGCTTTGGCACATGGTGTAGAAGTAGCTTCTCTGGATGATTGGTGGAGTGTTGCGGCTACTGGTGATACTCACAGCAGCGGGTGATGCTGGCGTGCAGCGAATCCCCCGATACACGTCAGAAAGTGCCGTTTTACACCAGGGCAATGCATTGTCCCCGTTTTACACCAGGGCAACGCATTGTCCCAAAGTTGCGGCAAAAATGTCTGTATCAGTTCCGAGAGACGCGGCAATAACTGGCGCCAGCTGATTGTGGGCATCCGAACTGTGCTGCATAACATACTTCTGTAAGTTGTGCGAGGATGGGTGCCGCAGGTCACGTCGTCCTCTTCGGGTGAATTGGACCTTTCAACTTTATTTTCTTGTCCACAGTGACAGCAATTCTGGATATAACACACTTTTTGATTATCTCGGCGATGCCCCGCCTCTGGAGCGGGCGGCAGATGTGTAATGTGGCGACGCCCCGCCTCTGGAGCGTGATGTGGCGGTGCCCCGCCTCTGGAACGGGTGACAGAGGTGTGATGTGGCGGCCCCCCCCCCCCTTCCCCTCTGGAGCGGGCGGCAGCGGTGTGATGTGGCGGCGCCCCGCCTCTGGAGCGGTCAGCAGCGGTTGTAATGTGGCGGTAACCCCCGGCTGGTTTCAGCCGGGCCGTCGGATGAGCGGATATGCGTGATCCGTGGCAAGGCTGAGTGTGCCCCAGGAGGCCGAGCGTCTGATCCAGCGGGCCATCAGCGAGCAGCCCAACATCCTCACCATCACCGTCAGCGTCCCGCAGGTGAGAACGCAGGCCATCAGCGAACAGCCCAACATCCTCGCCATCACTGTCAGCGTCCCGCAGGTGAGAACGCAGGCCATCGGCGAACAGCCCACATCCTCACCATCACGTCAGCGTCCGGAGGTGAGAACGCAGGCCATCAGCGAACAGCCAGCATCCTCACCATCACCGTCAGCGTCCCGGAGGTGAGAACGCAGGCCAAATGAAGCTTAGCCGCGCGGCACAAGACCCACGCCGCTACCAGCAATGCCCGCCACACAAGCAGACAAATGTCATCCGTTCTTGCAGGTGGGCTACCGTTTGGGTTTAATGCAATGCATTTTATAAATTGTCACAGCAAGGGGCTTCCTCAATATAAACAAGGCCGTTAATAATTTGCAGCACATACCAAAACACGGTTTGCAATGGGCTCACCCGATCTGAAAAACGGCTACTGCTGTGTCCAGCCCTGTGTTCCCCCCTTGCCCCAGCCGCGACCAGTGCTGCCCTGAGTTGGTCCAGTCAGACCATGATCCAGCACCGTCTGCCCATGGCCAGCGATTGTATTGTGGCCAGCGACTCAGTGTATTGCAGTCAGTGGAATCATACTGCTACCGCCAATTTCGGCAGACCTTCAGAATGGGGACTGACTTACTCACTGGCGTTTAATGTAATGCAATCGGAGCTAAGCATCAACGGCTGTAAAAACAGACGGAACGAGATATTTGCACCTACATTAGGATGCGAAGCATGACATGAATTTGCCATCAACGAAGGGTTCAAAGTTATTACCGTACCCTTCCCCTGCGAAATGCTCACCACCCAAGTTCCAGGTGATTTGCTGCGCTAGTTCCCAGTACTGTGTCACTGGCGTGGAGACCATAACGATGTGCCCTAACCGCACTTGCACCATCGCGTGTACAGGCGTGGAGACATTGTACCTGGCTATGTTGGTGCCCTTTGTGTGACTCACGGCTGACCCTGGCATGGACCTGGCAGGACAGGCACAGCTGGCGCGTGTGTTCGTCAGCTGTGCCTGTACTCCATTACCGTACGCCCTGCCTTTAGTCGTTTCGTCGTCGTTTGCGTTGTCCTGCGGTCCGTGGCTGACGCTGGTCAGCGTCCGTGGCTGACGCTGGTCAGCGGTTCGTGGCTGACGCTGGCCAGCGGCCCGTGGCTGAGTTGGCCGGCGGTTCCGTGGCTGACGCTGGCCGGCCGTCCGTGGGCTGACGTTGGCCGGCGGTCGTGGCTGACGATGGGCCGCGGTCCGTGGCTGACGCTGGCTGGCAGTCCGTGGCTGTCGCTGGTCGGCGGTCCGTGGCTGACGCTGGCTGGCAGTCCGTGACTGTCGCTGGTCGGCGGTCCGTGGCTGACGCTGGCTGGCAGTCCGTGGCTGTCGCTGGTCGGCGGTCCGTGGCTGACGCTGGCTGACGGTCCGTGGCTGACGCTGGCTGGCAGTCCGTGCCTGTCGCCGGCCGGAGTCCGTGGCTGATGCCGGCTGGCGGTCCAGACGGACGCTGGCCGGCAGTCCGTGGCTGACGCTGGTGTCGCCGGTCCTCAGCGCGCCTGCGGTCGCATCATCGGACGGAACGGCGACACGATCCGTGAGATGTGCGCCGTGTCCGGCGCCAAGATCATCGTCGACAAGGACTTCAAGACGTCGACAGGTGACGGCTGCCCGGGGCCGGGGCGAGGTGCCGGGACGGGTCGTGTTTAGGCGGCAGCGGGCTGGGCGCCCGCTCCACTGCGCGACGCTGTGTCAGTGCCGGTGAAGACGAGGTACCACCACGTGGGACTCTGCCGAACGCGTGTTGATTGAGATGGGGTGGATGGGGCTCCGATCGTGTTTGGCAGCAGCCGGCCGAAGCAGTTTCTGCCAGCCGGTTTTTGTCCGCTGAAATCGGCTGTTAGAAACCGTTGTTGACAAAATTGGCTGAATCTCAAGTACTGAGGACGTGCAGGACGCCAGTGGAACAAAATGGAAGCGGAAAATAACAAAATCCAATGCACGCTAAGCGTTGTCAGTGTTAGTATGGTGCATTTCAACGACAGCACAATTTCTCTAGTACATAAACTCCCAATACGTCACTATTTGATTGTGTCGTCGCACTTTGCACATTGATTGAGAGTCGATTGACAGCCGGTTTATCTGGAAATCGTGCTCCCGTACCTCAGATATGAACGACTCAACAATTGTATTCTTGCGCGCCTTGTAGCCTTGCGCGCAGCATGGCTAATGGAATGGCGGAAGTTGAATGTCGTTATTATGGCGTCATTGATGCTTGGGTGACCTTGAAATAGTCTCTGGCTCTACCTCATGACCCTCCCTTCATCAGTTCACCCCACCAGTCATAATTCGGATCAGTCGGTTGGATGCATATTTTATACCACATTGAGCAACCGGATACCCCTACCATTTGGGTTGGAGATAGCGAAAAGAGCTCTGGAAGCAAACAATGATGCGTTGTCAAATGTCACGTCCATTGTGGGTGCTGAAAGTGAATAGTCAGTTGTGCCAACACAACTGTCATTCGTAAATAAGACTTCAATGACATTCGAAGTAAGGCAATATCATAGCAATTGAAGACTCGCACGGTCGCAGTAGCAACACGACCTAATGTCAGGCGTCATAGGGACAGCAAGGGCAGACCAGGCCGCTGGTGACAAAATTGTAGGCACGGGTGTTCGTAGAGTCCAGTGTCCCAATGCCATTTTGAATATTATGGGATTGTTGTCGTTGTTATTAGGGCTTTACGACGCACTCAGTTGCTGAGGCTGTATGGCGTCGCCTATATCCTCTCACCGTGGCGGGAAAGGCAGGCACCGCGGGGAATCGAACCCCGTACCTCTGGTTCCCCGGCATGGGATTATTACCCCGCCCTATCCACATGCGTGCTTGGGTGCAAATGGCAATCCATATGACCGCTTGCTGTCCAAAGCTACATGTAATAGCAGAACTATTCACGAAACATTTTAAAATCGTCAGTCGATTCTTTAGTCAACCCTAAAACCAATGCAAAATGCTTTGCAGAAAGCAGCGGATAAAAATGGTCTGGCGTGGACATGGGCCGTGAAAAACTGGACATATCACTGCTCCAAATCGACGGCTATTCTTAGCATCCGCAACTTGGTTTGATACTTGGCGCACGATAAACCATATCCAGAACATTTAGAACTTTCTGAAGCATATTTTGGTGACATCAAACTCAACGCACAAGTGAACGACTGAGCAGATGAAATATGACAGAAGAACATCTCCGTATAGTTTGTGTGTGACTCATCCACTCGTTTATTTCGGGTGACTTCTACAAATATTAAACCGCTATTGGGCAGGACAAGGCATTAGAAACGCACCCGCAAAATTTGCCAGTTTGAGTACAACACGCATGGTGAAGGTCAGGGTTCCCGTTGACAAAAGCAGTGACGTCTTTTCCGTTATTTTTGCCGCCGTATGGTTTTGAGGCTTTTAACTTGGTGACAAGCTATAAACGGAGTGCAGAAAGCAAGTCCCCATAAGGGTTCTGATGCCACGTGTCTGTCACGGCAGGACACCGCCGAATCCGGTCTGTTTCGGTCAGGCCTATCGAGTCTGCTATCACAGCCGGGCACGTGATATCTACAGCATCCTTCGCAGTCGTGACCCAGGATCAGTTCAATTTGGCGGACCTCTGAACAAATTGGAGCTATTAACCAACAAAAGGCTGAGGAGGCATGCGCATAATCACAACACAACGGTAATCGCATACCACACACATCGACCAGCGCACCACCAGGACGAAGGCTCTTTTAAAGGGAATGTTTCACATTTGGAGATATTGAAGGACCAGAAATGAAATAAGCTCACTCATAACTACTGGTACACGTTTAAGTGAAAAAGACGCCGTTTCCCTGTTTAGTAAATGCGCTCGACAATGCAATTTCTGTTGAGTAAATATGCTCCTCAATACGTCATTGCTTGATTTCGTCATCGTACCTTGCACACCATTTATTGAGAGTCAGCTGAGGGCCGCATATCGGGAAATCCTGCTCACGAAGCCAGAGATGAGCGCCTCGAAAATTAGATTTGTTTTGGCCTTGATCGCCGCACGTTTGTTGAATTGGGAAGATTTCAGTGACGTTACTGTGACGGATGGGATGCCTGGGTGACCTTGAAATAACGACCCCGAAAAAGTGCACATATTCACATGCGCGTACCTTAGAAACCGGATGGGTTCAAATCCTAAGAGGGGCAGGGCTGTGAACCGCACCGAATGATCCTAGCGGTGATTATTTCGGTTCAAAACCCCGTACAAACGTGGAGTACCCCCTTTCATTCCGGCACCATGCGCAATTTAGCGCGTGACTTTCAGTAGAACACCTCGGCTGAGGAGAAATTCAAATGACAATTGACGTCACAAGTTTGAGCCGGCCTAAATGTCAACCCTGATACTGATGCAGTACGTCAGAAGGTGATAGACATAATTTTTTGCTGCTGCAATTACTCAATGAACATCACCAGCATCCACCTAAAATGAAGCCTGCGCTGGGGGCCAAATGCATTGCTTAATGCGATCATATGACCTCAGAAGTACGCGAGGCGTCGACGCGGTCGTGATGGTCGTGAACATGCCTGTAGACAAGACTGAGGCTAAATTCAGTTTTTATTGCTAAGACGTAACCCATCAAGTCTACAAACTGCACACAGCTTTGTGGGCAGCGTCATTGTCGAAAGGTTTCCTGGCTCATAAGCGCACTTGGTTTTTCACAGGTGGAGCATCTCAGATAACGTAATTTTCGGGTTACGCACAACATTTTGCAGTAAAATGGCACCGTGTTCCTGTCCGATCGAAATAGCAGCACATATTATCAGTGCCGCATACGACTATTTCGTCCACTTGTTAGCTTTGCCCAGAATGTCAGTTTCGAGAGCTTCTCCAACCGTCACCATTGTACGCATTGTTGTCACTGAGACATTGCGTCCATAATGGGGTCTGTCCAAGCTGTATGGATCACATAAATCTCCTTTTTAAAAACATAATCAAAGGACAAAGCCTTTCCGTCCTCACCGTGTCCACTGATTATTGCTCTTTCACTAGGTCCATCACTGACAGCTTACATGGTTCCAGTTCCTGGTCTTTTGCTGTCCGAGTCTAACCGTGACTAAAAGTACGTGTTTCAATCACCAGATGGCATGCGAGCGGTCACCATCAAAGGCACCGAGGACCAGCTGGCCACTGCCAAACAAATGCTGCAGGAGAAGGTGGAGGAGGAGGAAGCTATGCGCCGCAGGATTGACCTATCCGCCTCCAATCGTGCGCCGCGGCACAAGAATAAGCTCACGGACGCCACCAAAGGGCAGGTGGGACTCCAGCAATGCCGTTAGTAGGTAGGTGCCGGCCCACTCCGGCCAGGGATTTTCCACCTGCAGTCACGCGTCCTTTTTTCTTACTTCTCGCCGTATACGGCCTCCTGGCGACGCCCGTTTGTCAGGGGCAAGCTACATGCATCAGCTACGAGTAAGCCCCTGGTGGAAGCTCCGTCCGAGCGCCGAGCACGTACCCCGTATAGCGCTCCTCGTGCGGGCTAAATGTCGGTGGATGGACCCCCATGCGCATGCAGTTTTCCCCACCATTGTCCGCTTTTCTTCATCCCATGGTTATGAAATGGTTATTACTGTCTGAGTGTTCTGATTCAAACCAAATCAATCCAAACCAAACCAACTGCGATGTCGTCCTTTCTTCTGTATTCACCGATTCCTGGCGTGGGGGGGGGGGGGGAGGGCAGGGCCTCCGCCCGAGTTCCCGCACAATCCCGAACAGGGCTTTATGTGCGTGGTAAGGCCCGTTATCGGACGTCTCCTACGATTACCGTAGTGTTGTCTCACCACTTACCTCCCCCCCCCCCTCCCTCCCTCATCCCTAAGCCCTGATATTGCCAGTGGTGGCCGGAGAGGCTCTGATCCCAACTGAGCCTAAAACAACTGCCATACATCTGCTCTCCATCCTCACTCGTCGCTTCATCCTGAATCTTCGCCACGGGGCGTGTCTTCGGGGCCAGCCGCGACCGTAAGCCCCGATCAGGGTCAGGTGCCTCCCTGGCCTAGCCGCGGCCATAAGCCCCGATCAGGGTCAGGCGCCTTCCTGGCCTAGCCGCGACCATGAGCCCCGATCAGGGTCAGGCGCCTTCCTGGCCTAGCCGCGGCCGTAAACCCTCGTCAGGGTCAGGTGCCTCCCTTGCCAGCCGCGACCGTAAGCCCGATCAGGGTCAGGTGCCTCCCTGGCTTAGCCGCGACCGTAAGTCCTGATCAGGGTCAAGTGCCTCCCTGACCTAGCCGCGGTCTTAAGCCCTGATCAGGGTCAGGTGCCTTCCTGGCCTAGTCGCGGCCGTAAGCCCTGATCAGGGTCAGGTGCCTTCCTGGCCTAGCCGCGACCGTAAGCCCTGATCAGGGTCAGGTGCCTCCCTGACCTAGCCGCGGCCTTAAGCCCTGATCAGGGTCAGGTGCCTCCCTGACCTAGCCGCGGCCTTAATCCGTGATCAGGGTCAGGTGCCGCCCTAGCCCAGCCCAGTCCCATTGGCCACACAAACCCCGAAGAGGCGCCCGGGCTCGGGTAAGACTCGTTAGCTGGTCTGTTACGGTGGCCTCGCTATTGCTGCACCACTCACCTCTCTATTCCATAGCTCTGGGATGGTCAATGGTGGCTGAAAAGGATCCAGTTCCAACCAAACCAACCCAAACCAACTGCGATGACGTCGTGCCTGCAGCCTGGCGTGGCCGGTGTTTCCGTTGCCGACCCTGTCCACATTTGGATGCGTGATGTGGCCTCTGACGTGTCCGTTCGCCACGCCAAAGGCCGAGTCTTGACAGGCTTATGAAACTCCGAATTCAGAGTGCATACATCCGCTCTAGACCTTTCTAACAAACACCATGTTTCGGAAATGGACTGACACGATGGACGGCGTGACTCAGACGGGACATCTCATGGTCAGAGTCCGTACAGCGGCGCGCCCGATCTGGCGGGCGTGGCCGCGCTGGTCTGGCTTCCGTTAGCCGTCGCTGGCCGGGGCTGGCGCGCCTCAGGAGCGGCTCCGGAGCGGGTCGCCTCCCCTGACGTCGCCTGACGGCGCCGACAGGATGGCGCCGAGCCGGTGCCCACGCGCGAGAGTCTGGTGGCCACCGGGTCCGATGGCTACCTCGAGGTGTACGTGTCGGCTGTCGACACCCCCGGCCACTTCTGGGTGCAGGTGAGCAGCGCCGGCCCGTCCGCACCCCTCCCCGCCCTCCCCTCTGCCCGTCAGCTAACCTGACACGTCACGACATATGCAGTCGCGGGCACTAGTCAGCTGGTACGTTCAAGTCATTGTTTTGATGCTTGGATGAATGCAAAGGCACCCATGACTTCCACGTGTCTGGCAAGTGTTGCAAAACGGTCAGCACGGCCGGTCTGTTGACAGCTTGCTCACTAGCCTGCACGTTGCACGCTGTCCCGTTTCACCACCTATGTTTTTGACACAACGGCCTCGTGCCGACCAGGTGAAGTCGCCACGCGCGATCGAGCTCGACAAGCTGGTGGAGCGGATGACGGCGCTCTACTCAGAGGAGAGTAACCGGGAGATGTACAAGCTGAAGAAGGTACGCTCAGCTCGGGCGCGACGGCATGCCGGCAGTCGTGCGGGCGGGTGAACGTGCCGGCAAGGGTCGGTTTCGCAGTGCTGTGAATCCCAGTATCAGTCCGGCCATGTTTGTATCCAGGTCTCTGTGACCAGCAGCCAGATCGGCGCCGGGGCGTGTAAATTAGTTTAAAATACTCACGAGCAGTATTATCCATAACGTTTTATAGAATGCGCGTGCTATAACTTACCTTGTACATCGCGAGTTGTGGAAGTCGTTTTGTATGAGAGGGGTTATATGTGGCATAGTTGTGTTATAAAGAGCTCACTGCGTTTTGCGTTGATATTTGGTTGGGTCAGTGGTGACATCATGATCTTTGCCTCGGCAGTTGTGAGTAGGGTCTTCGTTGGTGTCGTTGGGGACGATCTCTACCCGGGAAAGTGTCTGTGGAAGCCGTCATCGACCCCTGTACCCTGGCCACTGCCCGGAGCGTCCGCTGCCCTGACTCTGGCGGTTGGCTGCGGGGTCTTCACTCCCGACCCGCAGGAGGGCCTCAGTCGTCCAGGTTCTTCGAGATCCTCAGTCCCGACCCGCGTACCCCGGCAGGTGTCGGTAGGGGATGTGATCGCGGCGCCGTTCCCGTACGACAAGTCGTGGTACCGGGCCGAGGTGGCCGAGGTGGCTGAAAGTGAGGCCGACCCCGCCGACGCCGCCCTCACCGTCTACTACGTCGACTTCGGCGACACGGACACGGTGAAGCGACGCGACGCTGCCGAGCTGCGAACCGACTTTCTCGGCCTCAGCCACCAGGCCGTCGAGTGCTTCCTCGCCGGCGTGAAGCCCTCGTGAGTCGGTCGGTGGGAGCCGTCTGCTGGCAGTGGTGAACACGGTGCTGCTGCTTAAGCTGTCGGGTGCGGGTGTGATGGATGGAAGCTATTTGGCAGCCGTTCTTGTATGTTTGTTCCTTAGTTTTTTGCTCCTTTTTGTTTTCCAGCGGAGGGCACATTCGCACGTTTATTCCTCTATTGAGCTTTCCTTCCATGTCTTTGTTTCCGTGTGCTTGACATAGTTGTGCTCGTTACATGAGAGCCCCTTAGGTAGAATCGTGTTATGAATATTGCACTGGGCATTTGCGAGGCCAAAGGACTTCTGCAGGTCAGAGGACTTGCCAGTTTTTTTTTCTGTCCGGCTTCGTTTACGCAGCATCCGCCAGCTTTATTGACAAAGTCAACCCACGCAGCCCTCGCGAACCGATACATATGTACCGCATCAGCTGGTGAAGAGCCGGCCACCGAAAGTGACTAACACAGGATCATAGATGCCTCGGCTCGGTGGTTGGGGCCGGTGCGGCGTCATCGTCTGGTGCGGGGACCGTCGCCGGCGTGCGGCCGAGGCTGTCTGTGTTGAGGGTGGATGCCGAGTCTGACGGTCCCGTGCGGCCGAGGCTGTCTGTGTTGAGGGTGGATGCCGAGTCTGACGGTCCCGTGCGGCCGAGGCTGTCTGTGTTGATGGTGGATGCCGAGTCTGACGGTCCCGTGCGGCCGAGGCTGTTGTGTTGAGGGTGGATGCCGAGTCTGACGGTCCCGTGCGGCCGAGGCGGTCTGTGTTGAGAGTGGATGCCGAGTCTGGCGGTCCCGTGCGGCCGAGGCTGTCTGTGTTGAGAGTGGATGCCGAGTCTGACGGTCCCGTGCGGCCGAGGCTGTCTGTGTTGAGGGTGGATGCCGAGTCTGACGGTCCCGTGCGGTCGAGGCTGTCTGTGTTGAGGGTGGATGCCGAGTCTGACGGTCCCGTGCCGTCGAGGCTGTCTGTGTTGAGGGTGGATGCCGAGTCTGACGGTCCCGTGCGGCCGAGGCTGTCTGTGTTGATGGTGGATGCCGAGTCTGACGGTCCCGTGCGGCCGAGGCTGTCTGTGTTGATGGTGGATGCCGAGTCTGACGGTCCCGTGCGGCCGAGGCTGTCTGTGTTGATGGTGGATGCCGAGTCTGACGGTCCCGTGCGGCCGAGGCTGTGTGTGTTGAGGGTGGATGCCGAGTCTGACGGTCCCGTGCGGCCGAGGCGGTCTGTGTTGGTGGGATGCCGAGTCTGACGGTCCCTTGCGGCCGAGGCTGTCTGTGTTGAGGGTGGATGCCGAGTCTGACGGTCCCGTGCGGCCGAGGCTGTGTGTGTTGAGAGTGGATGCCGAGTCTGATGGTCCCGTGCGGCCGAGGCTGTCTGTGTTGAGGGTGGATGCCGAGTCTGACGGTCCCGTGCGGCCGAGGCTGTCTGTGTTGATGGTGGATGCCGAGCCTGACGGTCCCGTGCGGCCGAGGCTGTCTGTGTTGAGGGTGGATGCCGAGTCTGATGGTCCCGTGCGGCCGAGGCTGTGTGCGTTGAGAGTGGATGCCGAGTCTGACGGTCCCGTGTGGCCGAGGCTGTCTGTGTTGAGAGTGGATGCCGAGTCTGACGGTCCCGTGCGGCCGAGGCTGTCTGTGTTGAGGGTGGATGCCGAGTCTGACGGTCCCGTGCGGCCGAGGCTGTCTGTGTTGAGGTGGATGCCGAGTCTGACGGTCCCGTGCGGCCGAGGCTGTCTGTGTTGAGTGGATGCCGAGTCTGACGGTCCCGTGCGGCCGAGGCTGTCTGTGCTGAGAGTGGATGCTGAGTCTGACGGTCCCGTGTGGCCGTCTTTGTCCGGCGTCCGGTCCGGGCCGGTGTCCAACGCCTCATGCCACGCCTTCGTTTCTGTGCTAGGACTGACCCTGGAGCCAGACTTGCTCGTGGGTACGTATGACCTTCCCTGACAAAAACGAGGACACCGCGTTGGTGCTGTTGGGTATAGCAGCACCAATGAATACCAATAGGCATGCCTTTGGACGCCCGTGATGCTGCCTGGAAAGTGTCGTGGCCGCGCACTGATTGGCGCTGGGTGTAGGCCCGTGTTGAGATGCGTTCCGCCGTGCCTGATTGCCGTGTCGGTTGACCCTGCAGGGACTGCGCTTGGACGGACGCGGCCGGCGACTGTTTCGAGGAGCTGTCGTACGCGGCCCAGTGGAAGTCGATCATGGCCAAGGTGCTGCGGTACCAGCAGGCCGGCAGCCACAAGGTGCCTGTGGTGGAGCTTGTCGACACCAACTCGCCAATGGTACGGGCTCTTGGTTCTTTCTGTCGCGCGCTCTCCCCGGTGTCAGTTTGGTCATTCGACGGTGCTTGACACCTTGGAGCTTCTGTCTTAGCTCTGAAAAGGCATGGTCACAGGACGGAGAAGGGCAGCCTTACAAGCCAGTGCAATGGGCCAGCCGTGCATCGGTGTGTGGTCTTGCACTGTGTTCCCGATCCGAACCGAGGTGGTCTTGTGTGGTGTTCCGGATGGCGCGGAGAATGCCGTTCCAGCTTAGGTCCCCTCAGCAGCAGCACAGCCCAGCTGGCGGGGTAACACCCCTTGGCGTTGTCCGGACTGACCGCCTGGCCGTACCGCCATGGTCGACCGGGACCTCTGTCCCCGGCACTGCTGGCCGCCGCGGCTGGCGCAGACTGCTCAGACCCTGACCTGGTGCCCCAGGACGTGGACATCGCCAAGGAGCTGGTGAAGCGGGGCCACGCCGTCTGGCGGCGGCGGCGCGGCCGGCGGCGCGCGCTCCCCCCCGCGAGGCCAGCCCGGCCTGCAGCTGAGCCGGCCGACGCTGCAGCGCCGGCCGCCGGCTGTGTTCGCGAGGCTGTGGCGGAGGGCGTTAGTACCTGAGAGCGGCGGCCGTCCCGCCGCTCAGTAGTGCCAGGCCGGCGCTTTTCGCCGGACGCTGGATGGTGGTGTCGGGGAGCAGCAGGAGCCGCGGACGCCGGCGCCACCGGCCGACGCTCGCCTTAGGGACGCCGGCCCGGGCGAGGCCCGGTGGCGGCCGCCCGACGGTTCAGGCTGCTGCCGGGCACGGGCGTCCGGCAGGCGGCTGCGGCAGTGGGCGCGTGGTGATGGTTACCTAGGTGGAGCCTGTGTGATGAGCTGTGATTTGGGGCCGCCAGCCAGTGGCCGTTCTTCCCCTAGTTTCCGCCGCCAACGGTTGGGCCTTGTTTCCCGCGGTGAGGGTGTTTTGCGGCATTCATGTGGATGGCGATATAATGTGATTACTCTAACCTGGATGGCTGACTGCCGCAGTGACCGCGTGCGCCTAAGATCCCCTGGCTTGTCTTGGTGACGACAGAGCTGTTCTGTTGATGTGGAGCTTTGGTTGCTGCAGGATAGTCATCTTTGTTTTAGCTCTTTTGACCCAGATCGGTCAGTTCTCTTCCTCCAACGGATGTCGGCGGGGCTCGTCACCGGCAGCTGTGGGCTGCCCGGCGCCGACGCGCGCGCCGGCGCCCGTCACAGAGAGCGGCGACTCCTGCCTGAACGCCAGCCACGGGCTCGGTCGCACTCGGGCGGCCGTCAGACGTTTGCACAACGATGATGTTCAATTCAGATCCAATGATGGGTGACGGGTGTCATAAAATTATGTGATTCCGGATCCCGAAGTCAGATTTTGCGATCCCGACACGTGCCTGATGGTCATTACCACACCCAACACGAGCGATGAGCTCTGCGGCGTGGTCGAGCTGGCGTCGGTGCGAGGCTGTTGTGTGGTGTGGTCGAGCTGGCGTCGGTGCGAGGCTGTTTTGTGATGTGGTCGAGCTGGCGTCGGTGCGAGGCTGTTGTGTGGTGTGGTCGAGCTGGCGTCGGTGCGAGGCTGTTTTGTGGTGTGGTTGAGCTGGCGTCAATGCGAGGCTGTTGTGATGGCGTGGTCGAGCTGGCGTCGGTGCGAGGCTGTTGTGTAGCGTGGTCGAGCTGGCGTCGGTGCGAGGCTGTTGTGTAGCGTGGTCGAGCTGGCGTCGGTGCGAGGCTGTTGTGTAGTGGTTGAGCTGGCGTCGGTGCAAGACTGTTGTGATGGCGTGGTCGAGCTGACGTCGGTGCGAGTCTGTTGTGTAGCATGGTCGAGCTGGCGTCGGTGCGAGACTGTTGTGATGGCGTGGGGCATGCAGCGTGGCCCGGCAGACTCAGAGCCTCGATCGCCACGTGTGTTCGTCTTTTCAGTCACCTGCCGAAGTCACTGCTGTGGGCTCAGTGAGAAGCACATACCTCGAACCAGTGGCACCGTCGCCGCTGTAGCCGCCACCTCGCGAGCTGTGCGACCTGTAGCATGTGCATAATACCAGTCTATCCCAGAGCCAGTCCTTTTGTGTCGTGTGATGCCGCTTCTCACGGCATTGTTTTTCTCGTTTGTTTCTCGCGTGCTACCCGCTGTAAATACCGCCGGGATGTCGGCAGCAGTAAACGCCATGCAACATTTTTTTTTTTAAACACAATGGGAGGCCGTGCGCTCCCGAGCCCCTCCGGGCTGAGGACGGCGCCGGGCTGGAAGTGGGCAGCTGGCGCACGCTACCGCACAGTGGAGGAGCGGGCGATGCGGCGCGCGGCCTGCACCCCCGCGCTGCATGATCGGGGTTATGGTGCCACTGCCCCCCCCCCCGCAACGGTGCGGAAGTGGATGGATTCTTTGGCAGGCGTTCTTGCACTCACAAGTGTCAAGAAGTCCGCTTCTCCGAGCTCGCTTGTTTGCAATGGACGTGTGACCTTTTCTGGCCCGTCCGGCGCTAGCCTGGTCCGTTGATGGCGTGTCAGGGGGCTCGTTCGGCTGGGTTTCGGAATGGTACGCGCTCTAGTCCTGACACTGTTCGTGGGCGCCAATAGAACTGGTAACATTTTGGAGTCAGTCATGTCAGGTCAATGACCTAGTTAGGTCATGGCTTGGTCATGTCGGACCAAACCGTGGTTACATATGGTATTCGCTAATAAGTTATATTGTGTAACTCGCGCAGTCCTTCTCGTAAAAGGAAGTGTTCCATCTGCATAGAGTTTTGAACTCAACTAGCCATTCTTAAAATCATTCTCTGCTTTTCGCAGCCTGCTCTTCTTAAGGCCTACACCCTTCTAGTTTTTTTAGTTACGTGCCCGCGAAGATGTGCAAACTATTTCGGCAATAGTATTTCAAGGCCATCCATCATCCATGACGCCCTAATCACGTCATTCAATTTCTGACATTTTGTTGAACCATGCGGCAGACAAAGCCAAGAAAAAGCGATGGTCGAGTCGTTCATATTTGACATTCGTGAGTACAATTTCTATATATAACGGCAGTCAACTGGCTCTCAGTATTAATGTCGTGCAAGGTGCGATGACGCGATCAAACAATTTCGTATCGATGGGCATATTTACTAAGCAAAGATATTGTGCTGCTTAGAGCAGCCTTTTCCACTTAACGTGTACCGATAGTTGTAAAAGAGCTTACTTTATCACATCTGATGCTTACATCAATATCTTCAAATGTAGAACATCCCCTGAAACTTTTCTGCTCAACGTTGTAGCTACCTTATCACCACCTGGTGATCCGATGTCATCATAGGTCACTGTTTATTAAGTTACCCAAGTTTATCCTTGCTTCTGGCGTTTAGTAACATGCTATCAAGTGGTGTTGTGTGCCGATTTATTCAAAGTGAATAATTGCCCTTGACATGCATCTCCGTTAGTTTTATTTTTTACTACAAAATGAATAAGCCAACGGGAAAAACTCTGACTGCAGGAATGTAGGAAGAACTACATCAAGCCATAAAGATTAACAGAGAATAGTGAGGTGCCGTACAATACCAATATAATAGATGTGCGATAAATAAATGTAGATCGATAGAATTCATGTAGTCCATTTTACGTAACTTTTAATGCCTTTCTCGCATATTTGCACGTGAAAATGTTATCTTGATCATTTGGCTCAGCAGACTGCCTTCTTTTGCATCCCGACTCTTCATTTTGTCCGATTGCCCCCCGTAATCCCACTGCTTCTTCGCCAGCCAGGGTGTTCGCCCGCTGCCCCATTCCCCCCCCCCTCCACATTTAAAAAACGGATGCATCTACAACGCTTCACAAGATTGGTTTTGCGTTCCGAGCGCTTGCTGAGCGGAACTTGTGCGCCTTGAACCCATCACTCCAGGTAGGCCTGTTATTCGATATCCGACGCTCGATGGTTTTACTTCCGGGCCTCTTGCGAGACAGAACTGTGGAGAGAGCACCGCATGGTCGCCGCGGGCCGGTTCGATCTCCTGCCAATTCCCAAGTGACCCTATGACGCCAGTCGGATGAAACAATGCGCTCGCACCGGAACTCATCTCCTACGCCGCTGGATTACGACCCGTGCGTCTTTCTCTTGGACAGCGGAGAACACGGGCACTGGGTACACGCTATTGCCCACGCTGCACTACTGCTGTTGCTCCCAGATTACGCTTGCGGACGCGGATTACAAGCATACGGCGTTGCAGAGCCCCATACAGATTTGGACAGTCTGGCATGCATACACCAAACGTCAATTTACTCAATCCAGGCAAGACCCATCCCCCACAACACATTTTCAGCATCGTTCCTTACCGTTTAGTTGAGAATTCGAAGACAAAGTCGGTTTTGCTGTTGATATACAATCTCTCGTCTACGACGCAGACCATCGGCTGGAGGTTGCAAGCGGCCGATGTAAAGATCCGCCATCCTCTCATCCTAGTAAGCTTTTGCAGAGCGGGGGATGCCCCAGCACTCCCTCGCACAGCATTCCTTCTCGGCGTCATGGACAAAACGTCATATCGTGATTCTATCGGGGGCTGCAAATAGATTATGTAACTTGTCGTAGCGATATGGCTGTTATGCGGTTAATTCGGGTGTCAGCGTGCGTCGCAACCTTTGTCTAATTTCACACATGTCCGTTTATATTTTTGAACAGTTCTGTGCCAGGACGCGGGGACCGGGGGCAGTGGAACAGCTCGCCCCCCCCCCCCCTCCTACCTTTAATGCTGGGGGAGCGGCGCCCCCAACTTGGAGGGCCTGTGGAGTGCTGATCTGGTATGATAAGAGCCGATTCTGAACTGTAAAGGAATCATGTGTAAGCATGTTAAAGTCCATTTCGACCTGTCGAGGGCTCATTCTGCATATTTAGGATGCATTCTGACTGAACGAGGGCACTTCTGAGTCTGTAGAGGGTCAATTGTGACCTGAAGAAGGCCCATTATTGACTGTGGAGGGCCCACTCCGGCCTGTAGGGGCCCATTCTGACCTGTAGACGCTTATTTTTGACTCGAGTGCCCATTCTGGTCTGTTAAGGACCTATTCTGACCTGTGCAAGGCCCATTACTGACTATAGAGGGTCTATTTTGGCATGCACAGCGGCCCTCTAGAGGGTCCGTTCCTAACTATAGAGTGCCCATACTGGCCTATCTAGGAGCAATTATTGGCTGTGGAGGGTCCATTTTGGCCTCCAGAGGGCCTGTTATGACATGTAGAGGGACTCACTCAGGCCTGTAGAGGACTGATTCTGACATGGAGAGGGCATATCATCAACTATGGAGGGCCCATGCTGGCCTGTAGAGGGGCTTATTCAGGCCTGCACACAGTCGATTCTGGCCTGTAAAAAGCTCATCCTATGCCCATTCTGACCTAAAGAGGGCCCATTTTGACCCGTAGTGGGCCCATTCTAACTTATAGAGGCCCATCGTTGGGTCCCCTGCGGAGGGCCTGTTTTGTTCTACAGAAGACCCACTCTGATCCTATGGAACACATCTTGACCCGTAGAGGACCCCTTGTTTACTAAAAGGGTCCATTCCGGCTTGTAGAGGGCCCACTATCTCATCTTAGGGGCCATTTTGGCATTTAGGAGTTCGCCACCCCCCCCCCCGAAGATAGGCATTATTCTCGCGCCCCCGGTTTCGTGCTTCGCTATGTGTTCTTCCTACAGCTACACACAGGTAATCTTTGGCGATTCGGTTTCTGAAATATTCACGAGTGTTTTCTTTTTGTTCACACCAGCTGTGGCGAATGCAGAACAGTCGATCGCGAGAGCGATGCCGCCATAGGTCATGCAGATATCACGAAACAACTTCTCTGGTAACTAAGTGGACCAATGCATAACATAACTATG